ACAAGCAGCAGCATCTCCGGTTTTATCTCCTCTCTGTCTTTGTTTGTTTTTTTGCTGCTGCTGCTTTTATCAGAGCAGGATTTCTTATGAATCATGAATTGGATCTGGTGCAGTGGTACACACTCACCCAAACACCCAGTCACCGATCCATCCCTACAATCTGACAAACTGACACAGAAACAAATCACTGCTTGTCGTCCTTTATTTCTGCCAGTGTTTTTGTTTTAGCCGTGACTAACCAGCCCCAATCTGTAGCATCTGTTTAAATCAAGTGAACAGACGCGACCCAGCTTGTAAAGGTTAGCAGCCAATCAGAGGCCTTGGTGCTGAAGTCGAGAGATAATCAGCAGCTACCCATGTCGTCGGGGTACCGCTCATGTTTTTTTTTCTTGTATTTCTAATCATAGTAAAAACAACAGAACGTGTTAGGACCAGATACAGCAGCATGTGGAACTGTTTATCCTTTATGAACAGATGAAACAAACAAAGACATGTTTCATCTTTTGTTCATGCCTTTTTGTTAAACAATGAAAAAAAAAGTATTCTAAAAATATCTGTTTAAAAATGTTTCTTTTCAACTTCTAGATGAACATATTTACAATACAAATATTTTCTTTTATTATTCATGTCTACCATATTTTCCGGACTATAAGTCGCTCCAGCCAAAAAAATGCATAATGAAGAAGAAAAAAAACAAATATAAGTCCCATCTGAGTGTAAATCGCAAATTCAGCCAAAGGATGAAAAAGAGTGCGACTTATAGTCCGGAAAATGCAGCAATTTTTGTCTGACAGTTGTTTAATGATGGTCTCACGTTGGGTCATTTAGTGTATTTTGAGTACAGTAATACCTTGAGATATGAGCATAATCCGTTCCAGGACTGAGCTCGTAACTCAAATCATTTTTTCCCCTAAGAAAAAAACTCCCTTATTAGTGCTAATAACAATGGAAAACAACATGTTTTTGATTGCTATAGAGACATACACACACAAAAAATATGGTATATAAGGGGTTCTTACCTTCAAGACAGACGACACAATAGTGGCTATTTTTATTTTTATTTTTTTGCTTTTTTCGATTTCTCCTTTACTTTTCTTCACCTTTCTTCACTTTTTTTCTCCTGACTACTTTCACTTGGCGCAGGCCTTTCGAGGCAGGTTAGTTTCTGTCTCCCTTTCAAAATGTTACAGAAATGAGTAAGGTAGGTGTCGTCAAAAAGCGCCGAAGCAAGACCAGTAGAGAATTTATGAGGATGTTTCTTTTCAATTAAATCAGAAACCTTCTGCCACATAGCCTTCACTTCCTTAATTTCACTTGTAATGTTAAAAAAGTTTTCCTCCCGTTTGGCCTCAGGACTCATCACTATTATGAAGAAAAATGCACAAAATAGAGAGAAAATCACGTAGAACGCAAACACAACACGGAAGACTCACGGGAGATGCGTACAGAAGTCGATGAACACGTGAAGTGAATTAGTGAGGCAGTGTGGGCTGCTCCGAGTGCACTGCCACCTAGCGTCGGCGTCTGTAAGCGTGTTCGTATCTCAAATCTTTTCTCGTATCTCGAAGCAAAAATGTGCTTGGAGGCTTGCTCGTATCTCGGAATACTCGTACGTCGGGATGCTTCCATCTCAAGATATTACTGTATTAATTCTGTCAGTTTATTATTTGTATGCTCTGTATCCTATTAAAGTTATAAAAACTGCAAAGACACTCTCAGCTTTCCATGCTGGAGATCATCAACCAATCAGGACAACTCCCAAAAATAAATGTTTTTGGGTTTTTTTTTGTTAAACAAAGACATCATCCCTGTCCCCTGTCTTTCTGTTTCTCGTCTTTCTTATCCACTGTCTCTCCTGTGTCCCTTCACAGCTGTATGATTTGGGCTCTCCCGCCGATTTTCAGTCTAGCCTTCCTGGCTGTGCCACCACTGACAACAGCTGCGTCAACATGGGCTACCCTTCATGTGGCCAACAGGGGCGCTGTCAAGGCGAATGGGGCTCCTTCAGCTGCCAGTGTGTGCCTGGATTCACCGGACATCAGTGTGAAGAGGGTGAGACCCACACTCTCTCTCTCTCTCTCTCTCCCTCTCTCTCTCTCTCCCTCTCTCTCTCTTTCTCTCTCTCTCTTTTTCTCTGTTTTCATTTCTCTTTATATGATCAATTCATCAATATGATGCATTCATTTATAGGTAATTGTAAATGGCAAACAATTCAACACAGAACTGTTGTTTTGCTTCACTTACTAACATTGTTAAGTTTATCACTGAAATATACAATATACACTCTGCTACTAATTTCCAGAGGTGTGGACTCGAGTCGCATGACTTGGACTCGAGTCAGACTCGAGTCATCAATTTGATGACTTTAAACTCGACTTGACAAAATGTGTTAAGAGACTTGCAACTCGACTTGGACTTTAACATTAACGACTCGTGACTTCACTTGGACTCGAGCCCTTTGACTCGACAAGACTTGATACTTTCTGCAAAACCCAGAGATTATAAAGTAAGGTATTAAGGAGCGCTCTGTATCTCTCACAGTGTACGTGTGTGCGTCTGTGGGTGTATTTGCTGTCGGCACAACATCCAATCAAATTAGACCCACGTTGTTTTGACACGATAGCATCGAGCCAATCAAATTGCGGGACAACCAATGAGGAAGAGCTGTCGAACAATGCGCAGGTTAGAGAAAATGATACCAAAGATGGTGTTGTTCGGATTTAAAAAGATGTAAAAATATGGTTATTTTGTTTGAAAGGACCTGCAGAACAGAAACGGCAGGACTTGGACTCCACTTGGACTTTGCCTGTCTTGACTTGAGACTTGAGTCGGACTTGAGTGCAAAGACTTGACACTTACTTGTGACTTGCAAAGCAATGACTTGGTCCCACCTCTTGTTAAGATTTCTGTCAATTTTCGTAAAATGTGATTTTACAGCCCACGTCATTGTAGCAGTTAAAATACACTGGCAGGTATTTAGTGGTAATAATGATGTGATACTACTTCCTCAATTTAGTATGTTGTTAAACTAAGGTAGAAAGGAAACTATTTGTTGTAGTGGAAGAAATATTATTTTGCAGCTTTAAAAACGCCCCCTGCTGGACAAGGCATCACAGTGATTAACAGTGATTACTGATTCATGCTACATAAAATGAAAGTGCCCCGTCAGAAATAATGCACATTTTTTCTCAATGTCATGGCAATGCAGCTCTTAGATTTACATCAGAGATTACAGTGATGAGTTGACGTGCCAATGCATATAGACAATCATTCTTTTTTGATCCCAATTGACCACAGGCCCTGTTTTTAACAGTAGTTATTGCTTTCAGGGTGATAAAATAACAAATACGTGCACACAGCATTAACTTTCTGTGGACACAGCCATTCATGGACTCTGTGATTCACATTAAGTGTCAGTGTTTGTGAAGGATTCCAAACAGCCAACATGGGGCAAACAGATGAAATCTCAATGAATAATGAAGTGATTAATATCATGAATAAATGAATGAAGTAACCAAAAACTTCCTCCATATTCATGAGATGATTCACGTCTGTGATTAAAGCTTTAAAGTCAGCGATGAAACACAACAGACAACAGATGAGACACTGAGGATAAAAAGGACCAGAGTCTTCTTTAGTTTGTGAAAGTAGCAGGGAAAAATACTAACAATGAGCTTCAACACATTTACAAAGAACTGGAGACAGTACCAGTTACTGTGTGACTTTTGATTACTACAGTATATGGCTGATCTGTATCTTGTATCTTGTTCATTGGATCCCATAACTCATTTCATTTATTGCACTTTTTGAACAAGACATTAAAAAAAACACAATTATAATATTTAAATATTGTAAAAGAAATGAAAAATGGGTTAAAAGAAGGAAAAAGATTGGTGATGTAGTGAACCTCCAGAAGATTTAAATATTCTGGAGGCTACTTTAGTTAAAAAAAGTCTAATAAATTCAATATTGCAAATACAAGTTAATTGGCAATATAATATACAGATAGATGGATATATATATATATATATATATATATAGAGAGAGAGAGAGAGAGAGAGAGAGAGAGAGGATATATATATATATATATCTATATATCCACTATATAGATATATATAGAGAGACAGTGGATAAGAAAGACGACAAACAGAAAGACAGGGGACAGGGATGATGTCTTTGTTTAACAAAAATATATATATATAAATTAATGAAGTTTGGAGATGGGAAAAATGCACAGGTCACATTTTGTCATGTTGTGTCACAATGACAAGTACTTAACTTATTAATAATAATAATGTTTGCATGTATGTAAAATATCAAGTGGTCATGCGTCATGAAGGTGTCTGTACGACGTCTGTTATCAAAGTGTTCCTGCAACAGTAAACTCACTTTACCTCTCCTGTTAACTAAACACTGCTGCTCCTTTTCTTTTGAAACACCCCCACCGTAGTACACACACGAGTGTAGAAGGTGTGTGTCCAAGTATCATTTGGAGCGCAGCAGAATAAGATAATTCTTTTTTTTAAATCGATTTTATTTGGTTTTGAGATTGTTTTGACCCTCAATCAAAACCGAAAATTGTTTACGCAGCCTTTGCTTCTTAATGCATGTCAATCACAGGAACCTCCTTCTATCCGTTTTCACTTTAATTCTGGGTAAATTGTGAAGGGAGCTGGTGCCAATCCCAGAGAATCACCCTTCACCAGTCATTTCCGATAAATGTATTAGGCAGGGTTTTTTTCTATCATTCCTTCATTAGGCGTTATTATGTTGGTTTTATGTCCTAAATTGTGATGTTAATGTGTTAGCGTAGATGAGTGACAAAGAAAATTATGTACAGTACAGGAGTTTTGGTGTTATGGTGGTGGTGAGACCAGCCATGATGTATGGTTTAGAGACAGTAGCAATAGGCAGAAGACAGGAGGTGGACAAGAATGGACAGGATCAGGAATGAGGTCATTAGAGGGACAACACAGACAGGAAGGTTTGGAGAAAAAGGTAGAGAAGTCAGATTGAGATGGTTTGGACATGTGCGCAGGAGGGACAGTGGATACATTGGTACAAAGAGAAAGGCCAAAGAGGAGATTTGTGGATGTAGTGAGGGAGGACATGCAGATAGTTGGAGTCAGAGTAGAAGATACAGAGAACAGGGAGAGATGGAAATCAATGATTTGCTGTGGCAACCCCTGAAAAAAAAAAGGGACAAAGCCGAAAGAAAAAGAAGAAGACAGGAGTTCTGACTTATGGTTAAATCGAGTTATGTCTCACTGCAAGGCTGGAATTTCCAACGTAAGTTGAGGACCCCTATACTTGGAGCCAAACAACCATTCACTGTCACAGTGTTAATTTACACTAATTTATCCAATTGCCAGTCCAAGCATGGGCAAGCTAAGGCCCGGGGGCCGGATGTGGCCTGTTCAGCTTTTTAATCCGGACCGCCAAACTTTTCGAAACTATACAATTTATTTATATTATCATTTTACTTCTGCCTTTTCCCTGAAATACCAACATTTCCCCAATTGACGACGTAGAATATGATAAAAGAATTTTAGCATTTTAGCCTTTATGCATGACTTACATATCATTTATCTTAGTTCACACAAACGCTCCATCTATCTGCTCCTGACCCGGCCCCTCTGTTCAATTTTAGGACAGTTGTGGCCCATGAGTCAAAAAGTTTGCCCACGCCTGGATTAGTCTGTGATCTGCATGTTTATGGACTTTGGAGGAAATCCAGAGAACCCATGCATATGAAGTGACCACACATTCCTTGAGGAATCATAATTTTGTGCCATGGAAATAGATATGAACAGCCCTGCATATATTCAAGGAGTAAAATTGAAAAGAAAACAGGTGCATCTCTTACAGCTACTTTTTCAAATTGCTTCCTTGCATGTTTTTTTAACTTCTGCTGTTGTTTATGAAACAAAGCACGAACGTACTTGAGGCCGCGATAGAAAACCCTTTGCAGTAAAACCACACTGCTGTTTTTGAAGCAGCACCTCATTCATGACTCAGTCAGGTTTGTAGGAGTTTCTTTTTTTTCTTTATTGCAGAGCAGAGATGGACAGAAATGTAAAAGCCACATACTGTAGAGCAATCTAGAAAAGAGTTGAAATGGAAGAATGGCTTCAAAACCACTTAAGGTGCCTCTGCTGCAGTCTGACGGACAGGTCCCATATTACACTGCCACATTTTCCCGCCACTATATCTATAAAAAATATATAAGGCAATGGCTAAGAACTATTGCTATTTTTATTAATAATTATTGTCAGTCATAGAGTTTCTATGGCGTTTGCATGTTCTGCCTGTCCACCTTTCTTCCACATTCAACAAAAACATGCTTAATGGGGGAGTAGGTTGATCAGATACTATAAATTGACCATAGCTATGAATGTGTGAATGATTGTTTGTCTCTATGTGGCCCTGTGGACTGGCAAACTGTCCAGTGCTCCAGCGCCCCCTGTGGGAATAAGCAGTAGATATTGAATAATATAAATGAATAAAACAATTATTTATTATTAAATTTCAATATTTTACATTCATTTATATCACAGTTTCCATGGAAAATGTATATTGTAATACCTCGAGATACGAGCATAATCCGTTCCATGACAGAGCTCGTAACTCGAGGTGCTCAGATCTCAAATATCTTTTTCCCATAAGAAATAACAGTAAATAAAAGTATCCGTTCCGGCCCTCTTAAAAACTTAGGGAGGGAAGAGAGTTGACCCGTACGTAGACACTTGATTCTGTACCGTACCTTATGTACACAACGTAACTTGAACAAAACTTAGAATTAATTTAACTTAACTTAGCTTACTTTTTTTTTTACGTAACTTGAACAAGACTTAGAATTAATTTAATTTAACTTAGCTTACTTTTTTTTTTTGCTTATTTCGATTTGTATTCTTTACTTTTCTTCATTTTTCTTAACTTTTTTCTCTCGACTACCCTTACTTTCACTTGGCGCATGACTTTTTTCTCTTGACTACCCTTACTTTCACTTGGCGCATGCCATCACTCAAACGGGCACCACGCTCATATTTATTGACAATTTCATGCTTTATTTCCATGGTCATCATGCGTTTCTTCTTCTCTCTACCATCCTTACCACTCACTTTCTTAGGACTCATCACTATTATGAAGAATAATGCACAAAATAGAGAGAAAATCACATAGATAACTGAACTGAACTCTGATGATTTGGAATTGTCGTGAATGCCATCGTTGGTCGGTCCACAAGTTGAGGCCGTGTCCTGCTTCTGAAATGCTCAAATTTTCTAAATCTGTGCAAACAGTTTGGGTATTGTCCTCTTAGGGCTGTGACTAATGTAGGAGCAGATGTTGTTACAGGTCATCCAACTCTGTTTGAACCAAGGATGGCTGGATATAGCCCTTCATGTATTATACCAATACTGCAACTTGGAGTATCTGCCGATACCGATATCAATACCCAATGTTGCACAAAGTTAAGTTGAGCATTTGGGCTTAGGTGTTGGACCCAAACTGATCCGGAGTGTCGGATCGAGCCATTCCCCATTCCCCACAGGGCAGATTCATGACAAAAGTGACTTCAAAAATTAGAAAGTGCAGATATCATTGACGGACACGGTCATGTTTGTTAATAGTCAGCTTCTTTTCTCCCTGTTGGAGAACCTTAGTTCAGGTCCTGACAGATTCATGACAGAAGTGACAAAAAAACTAGAAAGTGCAGATATTGTTGTGACTGGGAAATTCTTCCGACTCAATGATGCAGGAGCAGTGTTCTTTATATTGTGCAGGTCAAGTATTTCAGTATCCATATTTCAGTCACAGAAATTATCCCATTAGCTGGGCAGCTCATGATCATTAAATAGAGCCGCTAATATAAAATACTAAAATAACTTGATTGAAGTTAATCATCATGAAACTGGTTTGTAATTCTGTCAATGTCAAAATTTAGTACCACTCTGTGACCTTATAATGTGTTTCACTCAAACATTACCTCTGTCCCACACTTTATTGATAGTGACCTTGTCCCTGTACTGGTCACAGGATTTGGTCTCCTAACACAGCTGGGGCATAAATAGACCATTTTAATGCATTAAATGTTTGAGAATGAATGAAAGTGGGTGACATTGAATAAAGAATAACTATATATGAAATAACATTTACATAAGAAGAAGTTATTTTTGACATTAACATTTACTTTTGAAGGGAAGTTAGTTTTTTAAAGAAACCCTCAACTGGGTTATTTGAAAATGATCTGTGCATGAATCTCGCTATTAAAAATGACTAATTTGACTAATCATGATTACTTGTATCGCAATTTACTAAAAATAAATAAAACAAGCCTATGAAAAAATGAAATTGCTGTATATTGCTGGACCAAAATGACAAATACTGTAGTAGCAGCAGGTAGACATTTGAAAAATCTAAAGAAAAATATCATAAAGGATAACTCAAACTTTAGCTCCGTAGAGTTGATGGATTTTATCTGTTGCTGTTCATCTTGTAGAATGGTTCAAGAGCTGCTTTCTAAACTTTGCCCCTTACAATCTATTGGGCAATTTCATTGGTCAGTTTGTCAGCCGTAGACACAGTGACTGTGACACAAGCCAGGCTTCTAAGCAGAGACAGAGCTGTGACACAAGCCAGGCTTCTAAGCAGAAGATAATGCCTCCACAAACACACGCCGGTTGATGAAATTACTGATTTTGATTCAGTACAATACCAATTACTTTTTTAGGATTTTATTCGGTTACTTATACTGATAGATTGTGTGATTTTTTTTAAACTCAAGATTCCGTTGCGTACCTTACACGTACACTACGTAAATTATATAAAATTACAAATTTTTTTTTTTTACTTTTCTATTTTTTATTTATTTATTTTTTTTGCTTTTTTTTATTTGTATTCTTTTTTTAGTGGGCACCTCATATTTATCGACAATTTCATGCTTTATTTCCATGCTCATCATGCGTTTCTTCTTCTCTCTACCATCCTTACCACTCACTTTCTTAGGACTCACTATTATAAAGAATAATGCACAAAATAGAGAGAAAATTCACGTAGATAACGCAAACACATTAAGGAAGACTCGTGGGAGATGCTCATATCTCGGGTGTTTACCGTCTCTAAGCAAAAATTTGCTTGACAGCTTGCTTGTATCTCAAGGTTCCACTGTACTGGCTATTTAACAATTTAAATATGTATTTTTCCTAACATATTGCCGTATTTTCTGGACTATGAGTCGCATTTTTTTCATCCTTTGACTGTGCTTGTGACTTATATGACATATATATCTATTACTACTTTATATATTAAAATATATAATTTCACATGTTGTGTGTTATTGTTGTGTTATTTTCATATTGACAGCCACTAAAGGGCACTCTAGGCTTGTCTACCACTATCTGCTACTCCTTTAAGTTGCACTTTTTCATCCTTTGGCTCGGTTTGTGACTTATACTCAGGTGCGACTTATAGTTGACTTTTGTCATGTGTCCATCTCCAAAAACTGATTTTGGACATTTAGATCCTATTTGTGACAGATATTTAACTGCTTTATATCTCTTCTACCAACAGAGGTTCGGGAATATTCCTTTGACGGACACAGTCACGTTCATTACCAGTTGGCTTCTCCGCTCCCAGCCCGCAGAACCTCAGTTCAGGTCCTGGTTCGAACTCGAAAGCACAACAGCACCATCTTAAATCTTATCTCAAAGGAGAAAAACGAATACCTGAAAGTTGAAGTAAGTTGGATATTTCTTTGGCTCCTGTCATAGATTATATTCAGTAGATTGTTTTTGGTACTGCTTGTCTTTATTTGGGCTGAAATCTGATCTGCTTTGATATAACTTTGTCGAAAGGTCATGACCCCTGAAGGGCTGCTGACCTTTCGTTTTCTCTGATAAACTAAAAAATACTTTTTCTTGCCTTTCGTCTCCAGCTTCTATCAACCCTGTAGTCGTCTTCATAACCTTTTCTTTCACCTCTGACCATGTTCATGGTTGTAGTTCAATATTTAGTGCATTTGGCTTTCACCTGGAGGGTTGTGGGTTTGATGCCAGATTTTGTAGTTTATTTGCCATTCCTAGGTAGATGGTAAAACATGAAGTTTAAAATACTAGATAGATGGATGGATGGATGAATGGATGGATGGATGGATGGATAGATTCCATTATTAATTATGTCGGATTTACATTTTCGGAAGAAAACTCGATAACGATTCTTACAGATACTACATAATTATGCTAATGTCGGGCTGATAATATTTCTCAGCCGATATTATCGGACATCCCTGACCGTAGATCAAGAATGTCCTAAACTGAGGACCTCCTGTACTGTCTTGCGAACTATTAAAATAATTCAATGTGAGGACAAACTTGGTGCAGCATCTTCCTAAGTTAAAGGCAACTGTTTTATAAAATCCGTTTTTATGTGATGGCCTTCTTGTGCTTGAGTTGTTGCGGGTGGAAAACAATGGTCAGTCACACCTGAAGTGGACACTGATTGGCTGTCATTGTATTTGAGCTTGGTTAGCATAAACTGATAGGCTCCCATTGAGCTTGGGGAGGACAGAGTGAAGTGCGGTGATGAGACGTGAAAATGGAGGAGTGTGTGAGAGTTGTCCGTCTAAAGAACGGGAAATTTACGTTTATCCATCGATAAAGGTAGAGTGATATGCCTTCTTTGTAAGAAGGAATTTGCTTAGCACTGAAGCAGCTCAAATTTAGCGTACCGCATCAACGCAAAGCACCCAGTCGCAAGTACTGCCTCAGCTAATGTTAGCAGCGAAGACCGTAGCAACTTAGCAAGCCATAGCAAAGCTTTTCGCCAAACTAAACTCGAGGAGAAAACCCTGCGTATGAGCAAGTCTGCAACCGACAGGTTGGTGAATGTTCTAGCCAAGTGGATAGCAATGAACCGCAGGCCGATAAACATAGTGATGACCAAAATCAGAAAGCTGTACGACGTCCAAAAGAAAACCAAACTTGAGAAAATTACAGCAATATTTCCTCCATGGTCGACGTAACTAAAGGTTGCAGGCAGCACTTGAGACTATCACAAATACAGTGGAGTGTAAATGGCTATGACTGCGTCTGCTCAAGTAACAAAACAATAGCCGTTTTTTTGTTATCTACGACTGCGTCTGCTCAAGTCTGTTAAAAACAATAGCCGTTTTTTTGTTATCTATTAATCTTTGATCTGCCACAATAATGTAACGAATTTAAATGAAAATACCTCAAGTTGAAGGCTTTTCTCAGGAATCTTTAGGTGAGATTAAAAAATAGATTAATTAGATCAAATATTCACGGATCATAATGAATTAATCTCTCAATCTTTCTAATCTATTGACAGCACTAGTAGTTATCACTTCATAGATTCAAAATGGACATTAATGTAATCCTGCAATACTTGTTTTAATGAGCAGCATCTGAGTATAACAAAGACATAAACAACCCCAACAACAACAAAAAAAGAAGCTGCTGCAGCCACCTTGAACCGTGATGATGCTGTGATTGGAGTGCACAGGCACTGAATCGATCCACTGCGTGCCGTGCTCTACAATGAAATAAGATTTTGCCCATTCAGAGTTCTAATAAAAAAAAGTGTGAAATCAATATCTGGCATCAATAAATATTGTGGCATGAGGCCAAGAATTAATGAATGTACGGAAAAACTGAGTTGGAAGGAGAAAAAGAGAAGATTTACTTAATACACTGAACTCCTTTTTTTCCTACATCATTTTCCGGTGAGTGTGTAGATATGATGATATCAGTCTCATAGGGAACTTGGCCGATGACGCAGCAAAACCGCTACATCATTACTTCCCTTTGGCTTTAATTTAAATTTAACCTGGAAAATAGATTCCTGTTCTGTAAAAACAACCTGATGTAGTTTTTGGAGATGCAGTTCATTAACGGCTCTTCAGTAACAGATAACTCCGCTTCAATTATTTTTAATTATTTGTGCCGGTGTGAACATCCGAGATTACTTTCTGTCACAACATATAATATTTGCGCTCCACACTCAGCTGCCTTTTCCCCGTAGTCTTACACAAACTCAGAAATACAGAGGCGCTAAAGCTAGTGTGAAATAATTTACCCATCAGCAGACTTCTTTCATTTCCTTGAGGTTGTTTTGGAATTTCACAGATGGAGAATCAGAGCTGTGTTCGTGTCACGTTATAGAAGAGAGAAAACATTAGTTCTTTATGTTTCTTCCTCCTGTGGGTTTTATCGTGGAAATAGAAAGAATAGCATATTAAAGATCAATAAGTGTGTCAACAGTGAGCATTACATTTTTGTGTTTGTGCTTTACTAAAGGAAAACAGTCTACATTTTAATTATCTAATACATTCACTTCATTTCTTATTGTCAATGATCATATTCTTCAGACAATGGCACTCAGTTTAATAACATAGAGACTAGAACACTGTTCCACTGAACATCCATCCGTCCATCCATTTTCGTCCACTTATCTGTTACCGGGTCATGGGGCAGCAGTCTCCAAGACTGCCACCCAAATCACATTACACCGTACCAGCCCCTCATGAACCTTCCTGCGGGTGGTGAGTCCACTGGAAGGCAAAAACCGCCCTGTCTGGGATTCAATCTTGCCCAGGATGTGAACCTTGGGGTTCCACACCAATGACAGAGACAATGCCTCTGGGCCAAAGCACCACCCACTGAACATCAATGTATTAACGAAACAGTTTGAAAAGGTTTTGCACTCACTCTATTTCCAATAATTGCACCTTGACTTACCATCAGAGGAAAAAGTCCTAAAATAATCTAATTAGGTAAAAGTATCTCAGTACTTGTCTACTTTAGAGTTTTACTCAAGTAAAAGTAAATCGCATGATGGATTTATGTCCTTGTTTGCATTTTGAAAGTAAAGTTCTGGCTGAGATATGGCCAAGGATTTCCTTCTCTTTCTAAGTCATCTGCATCAGCATTTTTTGTTCAGCACCAGCCGTCATCCAAAGACAGGCTAGAGCCTGTCACTTAGTCAAGTTTATCTGGCTACATTAACATAGTGGGAAATCTGTGCATGCATGTCCACGCAATTTTTTTTACAGTTAAAGCAGATCCCCCCCATTTGATTTTTCATTAACGGGTTATTTTCCAATGTAGCAAAGTAAAATACAGTGGAACCTTTGTTTTTAAACTCGTTTAAATTCATTCCTGAAGGCTGTTTGTGAACTGAAAAAAATTGGAAACTGAAACAATTTTCCCCATAGGAATCAATGTAAAATGGATTAATCCGTTCCTGGACCCCGGATGATTGCTTATTCAAACTTTTCAGTTTTCACAGTATTTTCACAGTATTCTGTGTACAAGTTCATACACGGAACCAATAAAAATAATTAGAGCTAACAAAAAAGATAAACACAACTGAATAAAGAATAAAGCCATAAATAGGAAAGGCCATTTTATTCATCCTTACCGATGCTGAGGAGTCGTGATTGCGCAATGTCCGCTTTGCTTTCTCACAAATTGTCTCCAAAATACTGTCGCTTTGTGTTGATCCAAATCCAAATAGCAGCTTTTCCACTTCTTCGAATGTCTGAGATCTCTGCCTGGTGATCACAGTCACTCCTGAAACACAAGCGTCATTCTCATGCATTGGTATAATCTTTTTCTTCACTTATATTGTTCTCACAATTTATTTTTTTTTGCTTTCAACTTTCAAATTTCAGTAGCTTTTTTAGATCCCATGGTGATCCCGGGCGCCGGGAACCGATATATGGTACGACAACCAGGGCTATTTTTGGTTAAAATTTTTCAAATTGTTCAAAATGCAGGCGTTCGACAACAGAGGTTCCACTGTATTTGTGTCGAAATTTACTTTTGTTAAAGTAAAATGACCTGTTTCCGAAACTACATAAAAAATTACAAATTACTGACAAAAACTACTCAGTTACAGTAGCGTGAGTAAATGTAATCCATTACTTTCCACCTCTGCTTACCACTTCATGTTGTTATTTATTATTATTATTGTCACTTTTACCATGCTGAAGGCCCGCTGCCACTTTCCCACCCCCACCTTGGTCTCCTGCCTGCCCACACTCACATCACCCTGAAGTCAAGCTAGCTGAAGCCCGATTGCTTCCGATACATACGTCAGTAACTGTTATTAATCATGATTAATAACAGATATATTTCAGCATCCTCAGATGTTGTTGCACACAGTCAAACTAATAATGTTTTAATCCCACCGTGGCAACAGCTTTGAACACAATCAAAGACAACAACTGACTTTGTTTCCGTCACAGAACATTGCCTATCGTTTTTCCCTATCTGTCTGACCTCGTGATGTTACACATATTTTCACGCTCTCTGATCCAAGGAATGAGGAGAACCCTTTCACTGTGAGGCTGACCTCAGAGCAGCTCCACTTTTTTAGAAGGAAATAGTCAGAGGAACAAAGGCACAGATAGGAGAGAGGGAGGGAGCATGACAGAAGCTGTATCTGATCAGTAACCCAGAGCTCCCAGAAGGGGGCAAAGCTCAAATAGGAGTGGAGATGAATTTGATATAAAATAAAAAAATAAGGTGTTTTAAAAATAATTCCTACATACTTTACTTTTGGTAAAATCCATCCATCCATCCATTTTCATCCGCTTATCCGTTACCGGGTCGCGGGGGCAGCAGTCGCCACCCAAATCACATTGCACCGTACCAAACCTTCCTGCGGGCGGTGAGTCCACTGGAATTTTGGTAAAATACTTTTTTTAATATAAATA